ACGCCCTTGCAGCGCACTTTTGAGTCCGGAAAGGGTCACTACTCCTGCTCTTGGAAACTCCTCTTTCAATCTCACGGAGGGATCGGCTTTGAGCACCTACCGTTGCTTTAAGAATCCGCAGCGCTCAAAAGTATGTTCTCTAATCATTTCAAAACTTCTTCAGGAGAAAAAAATATCATGAACGAAAAACTGTTTTGGCGAACACTTGACCGCTACTGTAGCTCGTAAACCCCATATGCAGAATTTTGCTCGCATAATCCTCATTGAATGGGCAAGCACAAGAAATCTCGGATTCCTTGCTCTTTGGAGGGCAATCTCATAAAAGGGATGAGTCCGCATTTCTGCGAATAACATCGACACTTTGTTAGAAAAGAAAACGAAAAACATAGAAGGAATCCAAAATCGAACCGTGACTATTTCACATTTCTACGAATGATATCTGAATGCGTTGTGAGAAAAGAAACAAAAACATACCAACACAACTGATGAATACACCCACACCGGGATGGAGACAATGACAACATATTGAAAAGGTTGAAAGAAGTGATGCCTGAAGATTTGAACTTAAAGGCATCATCATCCGGAATGAAGATGACTTGTCTTCACAAATAAATAGCTACATTCATGTGAATATACTTTATTTCATGTTTTATTCCATTGCGAATTATTTTATTACACTCAAATTTTGTAATTTTACTTACACTATTTTATCTAAGTCCATTCTAATAAATATACTTTTTTATTCTATTCTTGGTTTGGGGTTTGGGAATCAAAGCTATAGTCTAGTCTCCGTTTCGCGCGTATCCTTAGATGAAAATCGATTTTTTCGAAACTCTTAATTAATTAATTTTTGAATTAATTTTAGAAATCAAGGGCGGGTTCGTGGACGAAAGTGCAGTCATAATCTCATACGATGGTCTTAGAGCACACTACGCGTCAAATTATGTGGTTATTTTCTCCGAAAATGAAGGCGGTGAAACTGGTAGCAAAAGGAACCATGCATGACCTTAATATTAAAGGCCTTTTCTATGTGTCATCATACTACGATCGAGAGAAACAGTGTTCCGTGGGAGAGGGAAAACGCGAGAGAACGTGTCGTACAAAAGAGCGCAGACGCATGACCATGGTGAAATGAACAATTAGGGCCACTCGGGACCACTGGCAAGCTCCTAGCGCTGTAAAGTATTTGAACAACTCTATCTTACGCGCCCAAGCGCTTGTTTCAGTGCATAATTGCTGAGTGTGCAGTCTAGATTTTTTTTTGGCTTTTTTGAACTCTTTTCGAAAAAGTATTAGTTAGATTGAAAACACTACCTCAGAGGAACGAGAACAGCGGCTAAGAGGTCGCCCACGATCACGACGTGCATGATCGCTTGAGCACTTATTGCAAAGATATACGGAAGAATAAGTTTGAAGCATTCGTCTTGCCGTGGATGCTGGTGATTGATACTGAAAGCAGCATTTATGAAGGAAAGAACATCGTCAACGAAGGTCGCCTCAAGACAGACCTGTAGGAGAGATTCACCCATTGGCAAGAAATGCACACGAGATGATACCCTGCAAGGTTGGCCAGTAGTAATCCTGAAAACAAGGAATTTCAGGAGGTAGAGGACTAGTCATTGTTATTGAATACCGTGTTTCTTTTGCAGTTGTGGTTTTCGATAGGTAGCCCAGATGATGTTGAGATTACCGAAGAGACCAAGTACACAAAACACGACGATAATGAAGCTGATCGAATAGAAATAGACCATGTGAGGTGAATCTGAAAAGAAAGTGTGTTGACTGGAAAAGCAGCGTGTGACGGCCACTCTTCATGTGGATAGCGTGATGAACTTTTAGGTGCACTTTGCGAAATGGTCCTGGGAAAATAAGATCTCTATTTCATTTATAAGGCAAATATAAAGAACTGAGATCCGAAAGCGGATCAAAAATCAAAGCTAGCAATGATCGAGCATCCATGGTTGAGTGTAGCAGTAGAAGTGATTGGAAACACCTTTTGATCTAGTTCCAGGGCTGAAAGCAAATCTGGTAAGCGAGCAAGCTGTCATCATCAGTGAAGAGTTGGGGCCTGCCGAGTACCACGCCCTCCACCGTCGTCACCTGACAACATCCAAAGGAGAAGTAGATTAGTTTCAGATTGGATGAGAATCCATGTAGCGATGTTGGCGACGGTTCACACCGCATATGTAGCCTCCATACCATCGCTCGGCTACCTACAAGTCGCGATCGAGCCCCACCTCTTCCCGCGACCCTAGGATCGATGGGACAGACGCTGCGGCGCGTAAACGTGCCACTTGCCACTACACCTCTGTCGCCCCTTCTCTACAGGGAGGGGCAAAAAAAAGATTCACTCCCTTCCATTTTCAAAACGGAATTAGTTACACTGCCAATCCAAACCGAATAAGCCCAACTGAAAATCATGGAGCACATTCAAGTCTAGCAAAAAACCACATAACAGCTTTCTACACAGACGACATCAGAAGATTTTCTACGGAAACGCGTTGCACGGGGCGAGCTCAATGAGGTCATCGAGGGACCATAGACCATTACGATGGATTGCTCATCTGCTTCGAACAACTGGATCACTCAGTCAAAAGCAAACAATCTCACGTAAAAGTGAACATAGTGGCCACCGAGCAGCTTTCCGGTAGACCGATTGAAGAATATGTATAGTTCGAGCTATTACGCTATTAACAGTGGCCTTCTTTGAGCTCGACGATGATGGCCAGAGACATTCAATACTTAGGAGGGGCAATGAAGGGGGCCTGCTTCTGCTCATGGGGGGACATCTGAGGAATATTGTGCCACAAGACCTTCATCAAGCGGTACTTACGCGACGAAAAGTTTGATGATGAGCGCCATAAAAGTGACTCTCTTTTTTGCCCCCTCCCCTTCTGTATACTTGCATTACGGTATAAGCCGCAAAGTGAGTAGCTCCATCCGTACACCTGCTGCCGACTGAGAGTTCCCTTCTAAATAAGTTGGAGGTTGAGCACAAATTTGTATAGGAAAGTATAGTAGAATGCTAAAAGGGCAGCGCTTGGGTTGCGCTGGTTTTGCTTTGTTTTACAAAAATAGTCACCTCTACCCCCTCAAAGAACTGATCGCTAGAAAGTCGAGCTTCGGTGTTTTCTGATGACTCAACCTCTTCAAAGTGGCAGAATCAAGAGCGAAAGATCAAGGGTTAAGATGTTATTGGACTAGACAGCGACTACTGCAACAACATCGCCTTTTCTTTCTTTCTTTCTTTCTGGCTTCTAATCAGAAATTAGGATAGGATTAGTGACCCATATTGCGTGCCCTCGTCTGACGTTTGAAGGCACCTGATCCATGTCATTAAAACTTGCGAAGTGCAAGTAATTCCGAATTCTGCCGAACGCACGCGATGGCTTATTTCTCAGTGTGAATATCAGATTCACCAATATAAAAATGAGTTCAGGTGATTTTCACAAAAAGGGAGCGTCACAGTGATCTGGGGCCAAATGTGCCACGTGGTCCATGGAAGGGTAGCTGACATGACATGGCTTGAAAGTTATTACCTATGCACATATCAAATTGGTGGGGTAACAGCGATCGATAATGGAAATGTGAATGTCAAGTTGACTGAGAATGAAAGAAGAAACAAAGCAAAACGACTTTTAAGCCCTTGAACAATGATTCCCTCTTTACTTTCTTGATATGAGGAGAGACGTGTCCAGAAGAGTGGTCTGAACTTCCTGTCCCACGGCTCCACTCGCGCGCGTACTTGAAGTGGCCACTACGCCGTACTTCATGTTGGTGGTATGGGGACGCGCGTGAGTATCTGTATATCAGCTCGTCACTTTGTCAGAGTGGCGCCATTGTCGCGCACATTTGAGCTGCGACAGCGACAAGAAAGGTTATACCAACTTTCGTTAGGTAAACGGCTAGCCAAGGTTTCCCGTGGTCCAGCATTTCTCATCATAAAGGGACGGACACATCACTGACAGGTGTCTTGGACGGATCACACAACCAACCCTGCGCAAAACTAATAACCAATTCCTGTTGGATCAGCTAGGCTACGGAGATATGCTGCGAACTTCAATACTGCGAGGGGACCTCTGATTCTAATAACTCGTTCGACTTCACAATCCCCCAGAGAGAAATGCTTCAAAACCCAACATGATAATTAAACAATCTTTCCTCAGTTCAACCTCCAGAGTTCCAGCATTCTGTGAACCAACGGGCCCAGTGGGACAGCACCTCATAGTACAAGGTTTGCACATTCCAACTCCCCAGCTGTGTCAGGCCGGTGTCAGAGTCCGCGATCCGTCGCAGGTTTCGCTGATTTCGCGATTTGCGCGATTCACGCGATTTTCGCGATTTTGCGCGAAACCTGCGACGGATCGCAAAAATTGCAAGTGTCCCATCTGTGAACATTTGAAACACTGAATATGAAACAAGAATCATGAGCAGTCGTCATTCAGCCATCACTATCAAGCAGAAGTGGCGGCAGGATTGGAGAACACCTTGCAGTATTGATCGGGCACTTGTGATTTCCGTGACCCGTCGCGTGAATCGCGCAAATCGCGAAAATCAGCGAAACCTGCGACGGATCGCGGACTCTGACACCAGCCTTAACCGTTGGGACTAACTCGCAACAGCTTCTTAGCATCTCAAGTCCAAGGTCTCAAAGCGTTTTCCAGGTTTTCTTTTAATTCACCTTACTAGTTCCCTTCCAACACTAGTCTTCTTGAATCCTCAGTTTTAAGGCAGGCAGTGGTCAGGATCAAGCTGGTGTGTATTTTGTTTGAAAATTTGACAAGAAGGGCGATCAGGAGCGTTAGCTGCGAGAAAAAGCAACACTTAATTGTCCTCGTGAGTTGGAACGTGGTATGAAGGAGAGACACAAGCCGCCTGACGAGGACGAGGGCAAACTCAGAGAAGCACGTCGTTACGTGAGTGGGAGCAAAGGACATGTATGCCGCGACTGATGAGGATGGCAGCGCTTGCAACGGACAAGGCACAGCCTAGCGCCTTTGAGGGGTACTTTTGAGTGCGGAAAGGGTCGCGACTCCTGCTCTTGGGGACTCCTCTTTCGTTCTTAAGCAGAATCCGCTGCGCTCAAAAGTATGTTCTCTAAGTAACTTCAAAACTTCTCAAAAAAAGGATAAAGGATAAAGCATTTGCCGTTGATCAATCCCTTTTTGGGATGCGGCACGCATTCTACTTCCATTTGTACATTCGTAGTGGCGTTTGAATGCGATGTGGCCTATACAATGACTTGCGGGGGCCAGCCGATGTACAAGTCAGTGTTTTTATCCTCCCAGACAAGTCTGGTACCAATTAACCGACCCCGGAGGGATGGAAGGCTTGGTTGGCCCGGGCGACTCACGACCCAGGATTTGATCCCCGGACCGCTCGCGTGGTAAGCGTGCCACTTGCCACTACACCACTTCCGCCCTCTTTATCCTTTAAAGCTATCATGGAGCTAAAAATCGCTGCACCTTCTCATTGGTACAGTTCATGATAGCACAGATGGCATGATCAAGAAACTTCAAAAAATTTCACAGTTGCACCTTCTGACTCCATTAAAACTGTATGTGTGGAGAGTTCAGTTAATTGCGCGGTACATGGCAGTTGCAGAAAGCGACGCATCCGATCCTCACATGAAAATTTCTCCTATGGAGTTCCATCTGCTATTTAAAAGAGAGGTGTCTGCTCAACAGAAAATTTATTTCTTCTCTTCATCAATTGTGCATTTGTTGAATTTCAGGCTTGCCAAGTGAGAGGTCTAGCCGACAAAAATCAGCCAAACCGGCAACAACCACTAATTCTATTTTCCACTAGGAGAAATCGTCCAATACTATGCCATATATTTAGTCACGAACGACCTCTGTTGAAATTCTGTGATAGAAAAAGTCAAGCCGCTCATTTTTTTGAATTTAGTTTCTCAACCAGAACGTGATGGTTGAGCGCTACCTAGTCGAATTTAGACCCGAAAGTTTTTACCGTCGAGACATTCAAGAACTGACGTCGTGCTTATAAGAAGTCGTGACTAGGTTTTAAATGTATATCTGACTGATTTATCATCTTTTGAGGAAATTTTTTGCGGAGTAACGTGGTGATCGCCGGATCACTGGACACCTTATGACGCAAGCGTGAGTCTCGACTCAATTCACAAAAAAATAAACCAAAACACAAGGATGAATAGGGCAAGAAAAACTTACAAATGCTATACAAAGTACTGTCAAAAGATCGCATTTCAGAGAAAGAATTTCAGCCAAAGTACCGCCTGTTCTTAGCAGTCGACAAAAAACCAAATTCGAAGAAAATCACGATAAGGCCTCTTGGGCAACCTAATAGCGCAATATCAAAAGAGGCCGAATGAGCAAGAACATGGTACTTCATTCGCCTTGTGGAACACTGTT